CTGTGGGACTCCAAAGAAGTGACATGGTCAGATATTCTTAAAAAGGACTTTGGTTACAATAGGGAAAATTGACTGGATGAGAGAACACACTGAGGCAGAGAGATCAGAGGAATGGTTGTTATAAGGCAGAGGATAGAGAACCTTATGGATGAGCCTAACACAGGGACAGAGAGCAGAAGACCAATTCCAGGGATATTTTGAAAGGTGGTCTCCAGGGAGCTTGGTGTTGACCAGGTGTGGTAGGCAAAATCATTGCTTCCTAGAGATGCCCATGTCCTCCTTCCGGGATTCTGTGAAATGTTACCTTACATGGCCAAAAGGACTTTGCAGATGTGATTAAGTTAAGGCTCTTGAGAGGAGAAGATTATCCTGGATTATCAGGATGAACCCAATGTAATCACAAGGGTCCTTATAAGAGGGAAGCAGAAGAGCTCAGAGCCAGGAAGGCACGCTGACAACTAAAGCAAAGGGAGAGTGGTGTGCTCTGAAGATGGAGGAAGGGGCCACGAGCCCAGGAATGTGAGCAGCCTCCAAAAGCTGGAAAGATTAAGGAATTGGATTCTCCTCTAAAGCCTACAGATGGAAGACACTTGAAGACACCTTGATTTTAGTCCAATAACACCCATTTTGGACTTCAGACTTCTAGGTAGTAAATTTGTGTTGTTTTGATCTGCTACGTCTACAGTAATTTGGTACAGCAGCAACAAGGAACTAATACACTGGGTGTGTGGGTAAGGGCGAAGGGGGCACCAACTGGGCGGATGACCACTTGGGAACCCAGAAGTAAGACTGAGTGGGGGAGGGGCAGAAGCTAATGAGGGGCTCATGTGGGACTCAGGGCCTGTGAAACAACCAACTGGACAACTGACCTATGGATCTGGCACTCAAGAGAAAGTGTCCCTGAGAGAGGGATTTGGGGGTTTCCTCAAGCATTCTGTGACTGAAGTGAAGGGAGTAGGTGAGAGCAAGCACAGAAAAAACAGAGTTAGAAGAGAAAAAGGCCTAGAACAAAAGCCAAGTGGAGTATACAAGGGCCAAAGAGGAAAAGAAAAATCCAGGGCTTGTGCGTCACATAAGTCAGAGGAAAGGAGAGTTTCAAGGAAGGGACAGTCAATATAGCAGTCCTCCCTTATCCATGGGGGAGACATTTTGAGCCCCTGAGAGGATGCTTGAAACTGCAGAAAGTTCCAAACCCCATACATACAAATTTATGATAAAGTTTAATTCATACATTAGGCACAGCTAAGAGATCAACAACATTAACTAGTACTAAAATAATTATAACAACATACTGTAATAAAGTTATCTGAACGTGGTCTCTCTTTCAAAATAGCTTGTTGTATAGTACTCACCCTTCTCCTTCTGATGAGGGGAGATGATGAAATGTCTCAGTGATGAGATGAAGTGAGGTGAACAACATAGGCGCTGTGACATACCTGTTAAGGGGGATCATCCGCTTCCAGACCTCGGTTGACCTCCGGTAATGGAAACTCAGGAGAGCAACACCACTGCTAAGGGGGAACTCCTGTTGCATCCAATGTCGCTAACGGGTAGACAGAGAAAAGCAGATGACACCATTTGCATAAAAGTAAAATCCCCACCCCTCTGTGTGGGAATATAGATGTTTCTAAGTATGTCTAAGATCGAGGAAGAAGGACTGGTTCAGAGCCAGAGCCCTGATGCTAGACTACCTTGGCTTGAATGTGGATTCTACCACTTAGTGGTGTGATCCCAGTCAAGTTACTTAACTTTGATGCGCACCAGGTTTCTCACTTGTAAAATGGGGTAGGAACAGTACCTACTTGCATCTGATTGTTGAGAGAATTAAATGAATAAATACATATATGGAAAGTGCCCTGCCCAGGATAAGTCCTCTTAAGTGTTAGCTATTGCTGTTATTATCATTATTACATGTTGTAATGTGTTTGTTATTTTAGAATAATAAAGTCTGCCAAAGGAAATAAGAGAAACAAACATCATAAGGAGGAAATACAAAATTAAAGTAGAAGCCGGTAGCTGGGGAGACAAAGTAGTCTGTATGTGAGCCGAACATAGAGGAAGGGCTGAAAGGTCTGAGTATGCACCGAATATGTTTGATGTGTAAATATTCATGAAGAACGTGAGACACTCAGTATTAGGAATAATAAAATGGTTAAAAGGTTAAACTGGCTACTCCCTGGTGACATCTACCCAGCCTCCATTAGTTCTTTGCCTGAGAAACGCAGATAAAATCCATAGCTACTCATCAGCCTAACTGGTGAGCTAGAACTAGAGCCAGGCATCCTGGTTCCCACGTCTCAGCAGAGAAAGCATGTGTTGGCTCTGGTCCCCGGCATCGCCTATCTGTCAAGTCCCCTGGTTCCACCTCACTTCTGGTCCTTGTCCCCACACCGATGACACAAGGAAGGCTGAATCAAGGAGAGAGGGAGAGGGAGAGAAAGGCCCAGGTTCTATTCATATTTCATAACATATACCACCCACTTATACCCTCTCCCAAGTGTGTTCATCTACCCTCTCTTCTTCCCCTGTATTGTACATTGATTCAAAAAGCATGAGATCTCAACATCTTGTTTTTGTGCCTCTCTGTGGGGTGACCTCTGGGATAGCCAGCCTGGCAGTATGTTGGGGGGCTAACCACCACACCCCTAAATTACCTCATGGGGGTAGGGAGATGCAGGAGTGGCAGATCTCTTTTCTTTGGTGCATGTGCGCATCTTCTCCTTAGTTCTACTGAAAAGGGAAGGGGCTGCCAGGAAAAAATTCCTGCCCTAACGAGGCCAGTGAAAACATTTTGTGCTATGCTGACCCTTGAGGCTACCCTGTCCTATCTGAAACAGAAACACCAGCTTAAATCTCTAGGGTGATTCAGCTTCATTATTCAACATGGAGCCACCTTTGAGCTTCTGTAGTCTAAGAGCTACCCTTTTTTCCTCCAATTTCTTCCTGCTCTCCTTCCTCTCCTATATGCAGGAGAGGATTTGAGCTATGTTAGACCTTTTTTTTTTTTTTTTAAGGTTGCTTCTTTAATAGCTGGACAGAAAAGAATGATGATTCTATTATGACAGCTACCAACTTGGTACTTGTGAGCAGTCAGTTCCAATAAGGTAGTAGGAAGCCACGCTAGACCAAAATCTCTAACAATCCACCTAATCTCTTTCATTTGAAATTTTAGCGTTCACTGCCTTTGTTTTTACTTTTCTGCAAAAGTATTGCAACTGGATTTAGCATGAGGCTAATGTAGTTTAAGCTTCTGGGACCCTTCCTGGCCTTCGCGGGGAGAGGGGGCCGATAGTGACTTTGTGTTCATAATTTTGTTTTATTTTTCCTAAAGAGGGAACCTCAAATCCTAAAGCTTCAGGGCCTATAAAATTCTCATCAATATGATTTCGGGGTTAAGAGCTTAAATCCTGGATATAAAAAAAGACTTCCTTTTATTATTTAGTAATTTTGGAGAGGTCACATTAATTTTCAGCCTCGGTTTTATCAGTTGTAAAATGGGAATAATATTACTGTACCTTTAGGATTATGGTAACGTTAAATGGCCCTTAAACAGTGTTTCATATATAAGATATGTTCCTAAATGTTCACTGTAATTATTATTGTTGTTGTTATTGCCTGAACAGGACCATAAGCTCCCTGGGAACAGTATCCTGCACCCCCAGAGCCCATCACAGGCGCACAATCACTGAGGGAATGCTACCTTTTACAACCAACTGCACTCTCCCCACCTTCTCATCGCGTCTAACCAGAAATACAACTTTCATTACGTTCTTAGTGCGACACACAAGATTACCTCTTCAGCGACGCGCCAGATACTCAGTAGCACCTTCCCAATTTGAAAGGCTGATTTAGCTTCGGTGTATCCTTCCCCGGTGAGTCCTGAAACCCCACTGTTTGCCTCCGTCCACTGGCCCCTTCCTCTCTCCCGGGTCAACTGAGGACAGTCGGCCAAGGTCAGGGCTAGAGGCGCTGAGATAATTCGTTAAGAGCGTCAGCATTGTGTTTGCACTTAATAAGCGCTTAATAAATGACGATGGTGATGATTCCCAAGCAGGCGGCCATCTACTCCCCGCACCCTCCCCCGGCAGCTAGGCCTGCATCACTAGCCTGCGGAGGGAGCCGGGGTGGGGTGGGGTCGGCTCGGGTGCGGGGACACAACCACGGTCCGCTTTCCCCTCCTCCGCGCGCTTCGCCCGCAGGGCCGGTTCCGGGGGTCCCCCGGGGCCGCCGG